GGGGGAGATGTGGGGCTGGGGGCACAGCCTGGGCCCCCCTGAGTCCCCTGGGAACAGACCAGACTCTAACCAAGACCCCCAGGTATGGCCTAAACCCCAACCCAGATCCCCACATCCACCCAGTGGTACAGCTCGCACTGAGAGGGGGGGCAGGGGGAAATGTGGGGCTGGGGACACAGCCTGGGACCCCCTGAGCCCCCTGGGTACAGCCCAGACCCCCAGGTCCACCCAGGGGTACAGCTCACACTGAGGGGGGGGTCAGGGGGGAGATGTGGGGCTGGGGGAACAGTCTGGGACCCCCTGAGCCCCCCATGCCCACCCAGGGGTATACCTCACACTGGGGGGGTTGGGGAGCAATGTGGGGTTGGGGGCACAGCCTGGACCCCAATCCAGACCCCCTGAGCCCAGCCTGGACCCCCAACCCAGCCCAACACCCCCTGAACCCCCATATCCCAGGGGGGACCCCCAGAACTCCAAGGAGGAACCCCAATATCCCAGCCCAGCCTGCCCAGGTCACAGCTGAGCCCCCTCCCCAATACAGAACAAGAAAATGGAGTTTTAGAAGCTGAGAGAGAATCTAAGTCCTTCTCAGATATTTGGGGGGGAAATTGAGGTACCCCGACATGTTTTGGGGTCTACAAGGTGCTCCCCCCACTTTTTTTAGGCTTATTAGAGTTCCTCCTTGGAGTTTTAGAAGTCTGTGAGAAAAAATTCACACCCAAACAGCTCCAGGATGGAAAAAAATGGGGACCCCCCCCTCACTGTCCTGGGGAACTTTGGAGTACCCCTGCCATGCCAGGGGGGCTAAGTGACACTGCAGACCCCTCCCCAGTTTTGGGGCTCCAAATGGGGTCACAGCCCCTCCCCTGAGGCCATGGGAGATGAGGGCACTCCTGGGGGGCTGTGAGGACACTGGTGAGCCCCCCGAATTTGGGGAAAGGTAAATAAAAATTGGGGGTCCCCAACATCAGGGTGGGCTGCAGGAGATGTAGAACCCCCCAACATTTCTAAACCTCCAGAGAACCCCAGAACTGGGCTGACGACTTGGGGGGCTCAGCTGAAACTGGGGACCCTCCCCTCATTTCAGGGCCACTCTAGGGTGCCCCCCTCCAAATCTGGGGGTACTCCCTGCGATTTGGGGGTGCTCCAGGGTGACACCGCCCTGTGGCAGTGACCAGTTTGGGGACAAGCCCAGCACCACACTGACAAACCCCTTGGGAAATTCCCACGTGTCTCAGCACCCCCAAGTTTGGGGGACCCCCCCGAGGTTTTGGGGTCCCCTCCCACCTTCCCAATGTTCCATGTCTTGATCTGCTGCAGTTCTGTCACCAGCTGTTCATCACTGCAGCCCTTCAGCTTCTCGATGAGGGCCCGGCAGTCGGCGGGCTGGGGGACACAGGGAACTCAGAAATGTCCCCAACACCCCTTGATGTCCCCAACCCCCCCCCAGTTCTCTTCCCAATGTCCCCAACCCCCAAATATCTCTAATTCCTGCTCTTTGCTGTCACCCCAACACTCCCTGAGGGTCCCCAACACCCTCCTGATGCCCCCAAGCCCTCAGTGAATGTCCCCAACCCATCCCCGAGTGTCCCCAAGCCCTCACTGAATATCTCTAACTCCTCCACGGATGTCCCCAGCCCCTCCCCAACTGTCCCCAATCCTTTCCCGAGTGTCCCAAAGCCCTCACTGAATGTCCCCAACCCCTCCCTGACTGTCCACAAGCCTTCACTGACTGTCCCCAAGACCTCACTGAATATCCCCAACCCTTCACCAAATGTCCCCAAGCCCTCCTCGAGTGTCCCCAAGCCCTCACTGAACATCCCCAAACCCTCCCTGAGCATCCTCAACCCCTCCCCGACTGTCCCCAAGACCTCCCTGACTGTCTCCAACACCTTCCTGATGTCCCCAAGCCCTCACTGACTGCCCCCAACCCCTCCTGGACTGTCCCCAAGCCCTCACCGCCTCCGTGGGGGTTTTCTTCAGTTTCGTCCGATCCACTTTCATTTTGGGGGTTCCGGTCCTCGTGCTCCACCTGCGGCCACACGTGGGGGGGGGGAGGGGGAGGGGGGTGTCACACCTGGGCCACCCCCCCAGCGGGTCAAACCGCGCCCCCTGCCTGTCACAACAGGGCCTGGCTGTCGCGACAGAGCCCCGGGATGTCACCCCCCCGCCACGGGCCAAACCCCCGCCGGTCTGGGGTGTCCCGTGTCCCGATAGAGCCCGGCTGTCCTGACAGGGCCCGGCTGTCCCGACAGAGCCTCCGTGTCCTGACAGGGCCCGGATATCCCGACAGGGCCCCGTGTCCCGACAGAGCCTCGCTGTCCCGACAGGCGTCGCGGCGGCCGCAGCCCGATGACGTCGCGGCCCCGGCTGAACAATGAATGTGCAAAACCCCGCCGTGCCCGGGGGGGTCGCCGGGAGCCCCCCCCCCAAAACCGCACTGCCCCCCCCCCACCCCAATTAACCCCGCGGGGGGATGACGAGGGGTTGTAATTAAAGGCTGTAATTACGGACGGTAATTAAGGGGCTGAGGCTGCCGCGTGCCGGGGTTCTCCACCCCCCCCCGGTGCCCCCCCCGCCCCCGCCGGCCCGGCCGGTTCGGTGACAGTGACGCATCACTTTGGGGGGGACGTTTTCGGGGTGTCCCCCCTCCGGGGGAAGGCGTCAAAAATAAGCCTGAAGCTCCCAGCCCGTTCTCCCCCCCCCCCCCAAAAAACCTTCCCGAGGCGAGACACCCCCCCCCCCCCCAAATTCTCTCGCGTCGCCCCCCCCCCACCCGGGAGGTTCTGAAGCCGCCCCCAGCCCCGGTAACAACGGGGGGAGCCCTTACCGGGAATCACTCCCAGTCCATCCTCGGCCCGGCCCGGTCGCTGCGAGGGGGAGGGAGCCGGGAGCTGCTGGGGGGGGAATTGGGGAGGGGGATGTGAAATTTTGGGGGGTCCCGTGTGAGCGGCTGAATGATTGAGGGGGGCTGATCCCAAAAAGGGATCCCCCAAACCGCGGCGTGAGGGAGCTTAAGGGTGGGAAGTGACAGCCCAAAATCGCTGTAAAACGTGAAAAAAATATCAATAGGGAAAAAAGTGCTGGAAGGAAATGAGGAAACCCCCAAACCCTAAAGGATCTGAAGAAAGGGGGAATCCTAAATCTGGGGAAGCTGCAGAGGATGGGGAAGGGGGGGGCCGGTAAAGGGGTCCCCAAATATGGGGAATTTAATGAGAGGGACACTGAGTGATGAGAGGGGATTGCGGGGGAATGGAGATGAGACTGGGGTCCCTAAATAAATGAAAACCACAAAAAGTACCCCCAAAACACGGGGGAACCTAAAGACGTGAGAAAGCTAAATTGAGGTGGAGGAGCGGCCAAACACGCAAATCTCAGGGGAGAGCGCCTGAGTCCCCTCAAGGGGCGCCCCTATATGGGGAGGCCGCGGGGGTCGGGGGAAGGGGGGCCGTGAGAGAAGGAAAGGAGCCCCCAAATCACGGGAGGCCGCCGGAGAGTGGGGGGGGCGGTGGGAGGGGGGGGCGGGCCCCTCATGACGGAGCCGCGCGCCAATCTTCCCACGCCGCGGGCCCCGCAGCGGCACCGGGCCGAGCCCCCCGCCCCGCCGGCCCCGGTACCTTGAGCGAGCGGGAAGAGCGGGGGGGGGGGGGGGGGGGGGGGGGGTCAGAGCCCGGCCCGGGCCCGTCCCGCCGCTGCCGCCGCCGCCATCTTACAGAGCCCCAGCCGCGGCCCGAGATCCCGCGAGAGCCGCCGCAAGTCCCGCGAGAGTAGCCGGCGGGACGGGAGGAGGCGGCGCCACGGGGAGAGCGGGGGGCGGAGCAACGCTGCCGGCAGCCAATGGGAACGCGAGAGGCGCGGCGGCCAAGTCTCGCGAGAGCGCGCCTAGCGGTGGGGCGGGAGTAGGAGAAGCCTCGCGAGATTCCGTGAGGAGTATGGGGGAGGGGAGGCGGTCCCTCACGGATCCCGCCTCATACCGGGAGGAAGAGGGGGGGGCTGACGTTGAAGGGGGGGAAGACCCTGCCCGCCACAGAGCGGCTCAATCCCCCCGGTCCCCTCGCAGGCCGCGGGCCCCACGCCGTTCCCCTCAAGCACCGGCACTCACCGGCACGCTGATGAGAGCGAGATCTCGCGAGGCGCTGGCGGCAGCGCGGCCCCGAAGCCTCGCGAGAGGCACGCGGAAAGAGAGACAGAAGCGAGAGCGGCAACGGGAGAGCGGCCCCGCCGCGGGTGGGGGAGGGCGGGCGGGGGGAGCGCGGCCGCTGCCTCAGCGGCGGGAACGGCGGCGGCGCGCGCGGCTCTCGCGAGAGCGCCGGCTGAGTGCGGCTCCAAATCTCGCGAGATTGGAGATCGCCCTCCTCGGGAGAGCGCTGCCGGAGGGAAGCGAGAGGTCTCGCGAGATCTGCCCGGCGGGAAGCGCTGAGGGAAGGGTCACGTGACCCTACCCGGGGAATTTTTCACCAATTCCGGATTTTTTTATTTTTTCCTTTTTTATTCTACAAATACAAAAGGAGGGGGCGGGACCGCGGCCTCCGGACACGCCTACAAAACGGGCAACCAATGGGTAGCGGCCCCGCCCCATCAATCAACCTGAAGACACTTAGGGGAGGGTCAAAAAAAAAAAACCACCTCAGCGGGGACCAATCAAAGATGGCTCCGCCCTCCCCCGCAGCTGTGGGGCGGGGCTTGTCCAATCGCCTGAGCTCCTGGAGGCGGGAAATTCGAAAGCCCCGCCCCCAGCCCATTCACAGCCAATGGGAAGGTGGGAACCGTGGTGGGCAGAGCCAGATGAAGCTCCATCCTTTTGTGGGCGTGGTCTGTATCTATGTGGGCGTGGGTTATCATAGCCACGCCCATATGTTACCCTACATTGCCAATGGGCGTGGCTTGGGCTGTGATGGGGAGTGGTCTCATAGGAATCTTCATTGTGGGCGTGGCTTCAGAGGGGTCAGGTGGAGCCACACCTGAAGAGGCGGAGCCTGAATCGAGCCACGCCCTTTTAGCGATCACACCGTTGTTCTGATAGGTGCAGTTCCCTCAGGCCCCGCCCCTTTCTGCAACAGCCCCGCCCATAGTTCATTGTTCAGCCTGCGGTGGGCGGAGCCTGGCAGGGCGTGGCCGGCCCCGCCCTCAGAGCAGCAGTTTCCCGTTGCGGTGAATTTTGAGGATCCGGCCCAGACGCTGCTTGGCTGTGGCCAAACCCTTGCGGGGGCGCTTCCCTGCAGGCGGGATCGGGAATGCCATTGGGATTGGGGGGAACAGAGCACCCCAAGACCCCCCAAAACCATCCCAGAGCCCCCTGAAACCACCCAAGAATCCCCCAAAACCAGCCCACAACATCCCAAAACCACCCCAGACCACCCAAAAATCACCCCAGAACCCCCAAAACCAACCCAGTATGCCCCAGACACCCCAAAACCACCCCAGCCCCCACCCAGAACCTCCCAAAACCATCCCAGAACACCCCAAAACCATCCCAGAGCCCCCTGAAACCACCCAAGAATCCCCCAAAACCAGCCCACAACATCCCAAAACCACCCCAAACCACCCAAAAACCACCCCAGAACCTCCGAAAACCATCCCAAATGCCCCCAGCTATCCCCAGATCTCCTCAGGCCCTCCTCAAAACCCCCTCAAAGCCCTCCCAAAACCCCACCAGCTACCCCCAATTCCCTCCAATCTCCTCAGACCCTCCCCAAAACCTCTCAGATATCCCCAAATCCCCTTGAACCACCCCCAAAATCCCCTCAGAACCTCCCCAAAACAACTCAGCTACCCCCAAACCCCCGCAAATCTTCTCAAACCTTCCCCAAAACCCCCCAAAACGCCCCCAGCTATCCCCAAACTCCCCATCAATTCCTAAGACCCTCCCCAAGACCCCCCCAGCGACCCCCAAACCCCTTTAATCTCCTCAAACCCTTCTTCAAAGCCTCTCAGATATCCCCAAAACCCCCCAACGGCCCCCACAGCTACCCTCAATCCCCCTCAATCTCCTCAGACCATCCCCAAAATCCCCCCAGATACCCCCAAACCTCCCTGCAGGCCTCCAAAACCCCCTCAGACCCTCCCCAAAGCCCCACAGACATCACCAAACCCCCCTTAATTTCCTCAGACCCTCCCCACAACCCCCCAGCTACCCCCAAACTCCCCCCACTTTCCTCAGACCCTCCCCAAAACCCCCCCAGACTCCCTCAAAACCCCCCAACCCCCCCCAGCTATCCCCAAATCCCCCCCAATCCCCTCAACCCCCTCCAAAAACCCCCCAGACACCCCTGAACCCCCCTCCAGGCCCCCAAAATCCCCTCAGAACCCCCCCAGCTATCCCCAAAGACCCTCCAATCTCCTCAGACCCTCCCCAAAACCTCTCAGATACCCCCAAATCCCCCCCCCCCCAAAACCCCCAGACACCCCTGAACCCCCCCTTCAGACCCCCAAAATCCCCTCAGACCCTCCCCAAAACCCCTCAGATGTCCCCAAAACCCCCCCAAACCGCTCACCGTGGCTGGGGGGGGCCGTTCCGGGGGGGCCCCGGCGCTGGCTCAGGAACACCCCCGGGGCCATGGGGGTGGGGGCTCGGCCGGGCTGAGCCCCGGGCGGGGGTCCCGGCCCCCCCGGCCGTGCCGTGTACTCGTGGTCAGCCAGGCTGGGGGGGTACGGCGCCTCCGGGGGGGGCTCCGGGGGGGGCTCGGCCTCCGTTTCACCCCCCCCGAGCTTGGCCTCGGGCTCTGCCTCCCCCTCGGGCTCGGCTTCGGGGTCTTCGTCTTCCTCGTCTTCCTCTTCCTCCTCTTCTTCCTCCTCCTCTTCCTCCTCCGGGGAGGGGGGCGAGGGGGGGCGGCGCTTGGCAGGGCCCTTCCTGCGCTGCAGCTTTCGATGCTCCTGGGGGGGCAGGGGGGGATTTATGGGGGGTCAGGGGGGGTTTATGGCAGGGGGGTTGGGGGGTTTGAGGGTCGGGGGGACTTAGAGGGGGGATTTATGGGGGTTTGGGGCATTTATGGGGGGTCAGGAAGGACTTAGGGGGGATTTATGGGGGGTCAGAGGAGAATTTATGGGGGTTTATGAGGGTTTATGGGGGGTCAGAGGGGACTTGAGGGGATTTATGGGGGTTTGAGGGGTTGGGGGGGGACTTGGGGGAGGATTTATGGGGGGTTTGGGAGGTCAGGGGGGATTTATAGGGGAGATTTGGGGGGTCAGGGGGATTTTGGGAGGGATTTATGGGGGTTTGAGGGTCAGGGGCACTTAGGGGGGATTTATGGGGGTATTTGGGTTGTGCTGTGGGTCTAGAGAGGGGTTTGAGAGGATTTTACCCCCCTGGACCCCCTAAATCCCCCCAAACCCCTCCCCTGCAGAGCTCCCAGCTCCTCCCAGTGCTCCCAGTTCACCTCCTGGGCCAGTTTGGCATCCCCAAAATCGTCCTGAACTCCCCTAAATCCCCCCTGGAACCCCTAAATCATCCCCACAAAGCCCGAATCTCCCCGCCTGCGGTTCCCCCTCAGTGCTCCCAGTTCCTCCCAGTGCTCCCAGTTCACCTGCTGGGCCAGTTTGGTACCCCCAAATCCTCCCTGAACCACCCCCAAAATCACCCCCAAATCCTCCCTGAACTCCCCTCAAACACCCCCTGGACCCCCTAAATGCCCCCAAAACCCCAAATCGCCACCCTCAGTGCTCCCAGTTGCTCCCAGTGCTCCCAGTTCACCTGCT